AGAAGATTTTAATTATTATCTATTACTTCATATACATATTTATCATTCTTATTTCTTAATAAAACTTTATAAACGCATTTTATAAGTTATTGTGTCATTTTACGTCTTATTTATGTGCATTGTTTGTAAATTTTTCATGAGTAGTCCCTATGAGTAGTCGTATATCCCATCCCTATGGGATATACGGCAAAAATGTAAGGGTTTCAAAAAGTTCATTTTTTAATACGAAAAATAAATATTTCGGATTTCTAATATTTTTTTCATAGTAGTAGACACAATACAAAGTTTTTACTGATATAGTTCGTTTTACTTTAAACATATAGTAAATAATATTTAATAAATCAAGTTTTTTTGATAGGTGCGGCATATATACCGGAGTTACCCTATAAGAAACAAGTGCACTTTTTACACATCTTATACATCTAAAAAAAATATTAACAAAAGTGTATTTAATAAAAAAATAAAAAAAGAGCAGTAAAATTAAATAATAAATAAATTAATTCCCCTCTCCCCGTTTTTCTATATCCACTACACCTAGATAGATCGCGGGGTTTGCTATTCTGAAAAGTAGGTTGTTATTCACAAACGTTTGGAAAAACTTGATATAGGATGTTCAAACTAATTGTTAGAATATAAAATTATTTGTAGTATTACTCATCACACTCGAAATTCCTACGTAATTATTTTGATAGTCCAACAAAATTATTTTCAGATTTGTATCTAATTAAATTTTCAGATATTTTATCGTTCTTTCCGTGTGATACTAATAATAGTTATACATTGTTGAATATGAAATTATAAATAATGCTGTGTTACTTTTAGTTGGTGTCGACTGAGATATGTCTTGAGAAAGTTTTTAATTGATAACAATCAAAGGAAAGATACAAAACATACGAGGTCAGAGATGCAGATGGGCGATCGGCAAAGGGATCATACTCATCCTCCTGGATCTGCCGTTCAGCTTGAACATCCTCTGCATTTTGCCTCATTGGGATGTAGGATCTATCGTCATTGTCGATCGAGAACGTAGATACGGTTAATCGGAATATCTTAAGAAAATATGTCTTACTTATCGATCATATCGCGCGTTGCCTGGAACTCCGCAAGGTTTGCCGCCATTCCTGGCTTTCTTTGATAATGCTATAGGCATTCGGATCTTCCGTAGGTTTTCTGCTCGTGAATTCCGTATAACGCTTCCGTCAGACTATGACAACCGATAAATCACCTATTAACCCGCTTGCGCGGCGTTCAATGACGATAATGCCTTTCCGTAAACTCGTTTAACAGAAATGGCATTTACGGTAAGAGAACATTCAAGCGCAACTTGATCGTCGAAGAAAATGTGACGGTTTCAAAACGCAGCGGTTTCAAAACGTGATTAAGCCACACGGCAATTACGTCGTAACTTTCATTGACATTTACATCCGTAGTACGAAGTCGTCTCGAATTATCGATTTAAATCGCTTGTATCCTGCGAAACTAGAAAGGAAGAAACTGAGACTCTCGAGCCTGCATTTAAAATAAAATGTCAAAGTGCTTTTTTGACTTATTAACTTTAAAGAGACAGAAAAGTTAGATTGCTCGAAATCTTTGACAATTTTTTATGACAAATTAAATAAATGAAGTTTATTTATACAATTAGCACATAAAAAGTAAAAATTATTTTTTATTGACATATACTTATATAAATAAGCAAAATTTATACAAATAAAAAAGCAATATATAAATATATTTCATTTTTTCAAGATTATATCGTTTTGCAATATCTCAGCTTTCATGTAATCCGATCATGGTGAATTTTAACGATGAAACTTCTATAAAATACAGCAAATAAAAATTATTGCAGGTTTTATTAACAAAAAAACTCAATATTTTTATCTTTTTATACTAAAAATTAAATGCTCAAAATAAAATGATTGTCCGTGATTCTGATGATTCATTTTATAGCGGCAAACCTTCTGAAGATTTCTAGTTAAAATTCGTCATAATCGGACCGCCAAGATATTATTGCAAAACGACGACCTCGAAAAAGAAACGGAATATGTATACAGTGTGTCCGGGAAAAAAGGGTTCAACATTTATAAGGATAAGCAGATAATCATGATACTAACATACAAAATTGTTTATATCTCAGAAACGGTAAATTTTTTATCTATGTCTCTACTAAAGGGTTTATTATATTCACTATAGTGTGTACTATCTACCTTATAAAATGTTGGATCTTTTTTCTCGAATATTCTACATATACATATGTGTATGCTTGCGCACGCGTGTGTATCGTATATTTATATAAGTATTTGTCAATAACAAATATATTTTTTTAATCTTTATACATATTGTATAAATATCATTTAAAGTTTCACTCTTTTACACTTATTTAGATCGTCTTAAAAAATTGTCAAAAATTTCGAGCAATTTAATCCTCTAAACTCCTTAAATTACTTTCAGAATATTAAAGATTTTTTAACATAAAAGTTTCTCGACATTCTACATTCTCTTTCAAATAATTACAGTTCAGGAACTATGTATTCTCCCGAAATAGTACGAAACATCTATTAGAATATGTTAAGTAACATATAATTATACTCATTGTTTAATATGATAGAAATCACATATGCTACCGTTGCGAAATATAACTATGTACATGTAATAACTTTAAAGAAGTAATTTTTTTGTGTGGATTGCATAATGTTTCCTTAGTAATCAGTGAACTTGAAATACTTTACCAGCTAAGGAAATGTACACGTGTGCGATATTCGAACTGAATGCATAATTATAACGTTTTTATTTCCATTTACGCTGTATTCGGGGAACGTGCTATCAGTGTGCTATTGTGTCATTTTATCTTTATCGTTCATTACAGACAGAACAAGAATGACGCAATAACGCTAATAGCGCAACTCTCAAATGCAACTTTAAACTGCATAAAAAAACTTATATTGTCGTTGGATAGATATAATATATGGTAAAAAATTGCGCAATAATACTATAATGACAACAATACTATTGTTAAAAATTATACCATCTAGCTTCAGGAGCGTAAAATCGTTACTCAAAAATAGCAAAAAACTTAAAACGGTGAAGTAATTTGTTTTCTGAAATTATTGAAATGCATTTTTTGATCAAGGCATTCTAAACAATAGGATATATTATTTAATTGTCATTTGTGCAATCATATAACTGTAGAAATGAATCGTCTCAATTTCCGTTGGAAACTCAATAAAATATGTGAAAACTGGCTCTAGAAAAAGCTTCTTCATCGACATTTTTCTTTACTAAAAGTGGGATTTACTTCGATCAATATTCCTTGATAAGTTAATAGAAATGCCTTGACAAGCTTTGTAAAACAATAAAATAGAAATCTTTAATATTTATCGCGAATTAATTTCTCATGGAAGTGGTACAATAATTGAATTGACCTTGTGGTAACAGTGAGATCTTATGGTAACATTTTATAGAAACAGAAAAATATATAAAATAATTCTAAGTTAATTGTAAGAAAAATACATTTATTTGTAGCCACATTGCTACTAAAACTCATATTTTGACACATGTCTAAAGAGTTTATTATTACAGATTACAGATTAATAAGAAATATTAGGAAAACAATAAAATTTAGTTATGTTGTGAATTAGCCCACTGTTTAGTAAGATTTTCAATTATTTTTGTACCGAAGTAATATTATCTAAAAATCTGTATATTTTATTATCTTATTATATTGAAAGATTTTAATAATATTCTCATATTTAAATGTTAATTTTATAATAGATAATTTTTGATCATATAGCAATTGCTTAACAGATAAAATATATTGCAAAGTGATTTCTTTTAATATATAATATATATGACAAAATGTATATGTTTTGCTGTTGGTTATAAGTTGTTTCGTACGGTTATTTGCATATGGTAATCCATCAAAGTCAAAGATTTAGGACTACTAAAATTGCATACTAATAATAAATATCTTCAAGTAATTTCATTTTATTAATAGGATCACATTATCGCAGATTCGTTACAGATAATATTTATTTACATTAGCGCTAATTTATTTAAATAAATCACGATGTCGTCTATGTACAAATATGTCGGTGTATGTATTCGTAAAACAATAATTAATAATTCTATGATGATAAGACATATCTAAACTAGATAAAGTATGATACAACAACAGTGCTTTAATAACCATCGGTATCGGGAGGATGCTGCACCTTCGCAGCCCTTTTACACGTTTTTTCTCGATTACGTTTGTCAATTAAAGATATAAAAATAATAGCCTCCAGTCGGCAGTGCGTACGCTGATACGGGCACTAAAATCCACCGGCTGTATGAATAACAATAATATCTGAGCATTTTCGTGGCGTCACGAATCCCATTGTACAAAAAGGAAAAAGACAAGGAAAAAAGCAAAATTCACTGAATGCACATCGGTTCCCCTGTTCGTTTTCGCCGCGCATAAAGACATTAGGCGCTAATAAAATAATAAGTAGAGTCCGTCAGTCCTGTGACTTACACCTTAAACTATATGTTAATCACATGTTTCGCGGTTATTTATAACTAGGATCACAGGCTGTATCTGTGATTATTCAGTGTTCACAATCGTCATTGTTAGTTATAAATAATTAAATTGGTTGTTGAAACGAGGAACTGTGTAGTAAATAGTGTTCTTTCCGGAGTCGGGGCATCGTGAGTTTACGCGCATCGAAACGTGACTTCGGTGAATCATCAATTCGACGAGCCTCAACCTCCCTGTAATAAGTGAGAATTAACATCGCTCACTTTTATCATCCTCGGTTAAAATATACATTGTATGTATGAGCAAAGAACGAATGAACAGAGAAAACGAAACCAAATTGTTTAAAAAAAAAAACTTGTTTAACGTATCACACTCTATCTGCATTCATTGTCCGTTCGTTGTTCATGCATTCGATGTATATGTACCAATGTATATTCGTTATTGCGTCCAGCGAACGAGTGCGCGATAATTAAATGATATGTTATTTTCGACAAAGTATAAATGGACAACACTCAATATATTTCCATGTTTGATAAGAATTTCAGCGTCTTGACTTTTGAATTTTTAAACAGTCACGCACATTTCGCCCAATTGTAGCACAATACTTTTCATCAACTAAATTCGGACACAAATTCGCACTATTATAATACACGCAATAAATAAGAAAGCAATTAATCGGAACGTATCAAATCGAAGGTAGAAATGCTAAATGGAATACGAAATTGCAACTACGGAATGTGAAATATCGACTGTGCTATTATCCTCTGTTGCGAGCTAATAATACGATCGGATCTTTTCACACACTCGACTGCTAACCATACTTTTTTAACCGAAAGTTTTTCGCTTAGAGACAAAAGATATTACAAATTCGTGAGAAAAATACATAAAAATAGCACTGTATATGAGATGTAAAGATAAAATTTACATAATTGCAAAGTCACCGAACGTAGACCAAGTAATCGAAAGTTTGATTAACAAACTCATTCTTGACGTTGGTTAGGTAAACCAAATATCGTTTACATATTAAAAATAATACCAAACATAACATCAAATAATATCGAATAAATATAAACGCTTGCCTTTGCATTTACTGTGATATGCGACTCGATAAAATATTCAAAAATTATTTCTCAATTGATAAAAATTACACATATACCCCTTGATAAGTTAGGTATATGTTTTACACACATACGAGAAATTCGAATAAAGATAGAAAGAAACGCGTATATAGTCTTGCTCTTCTTAAAAAATTTGAAAAGAATTTTAAATATATCTTTGAATGTACTTATTTTACTTTATAATTAAACACGATATATCTGTATGAATTTGAAATGTGACCATATTTAAACATGATATATTTATATTAATTTGAAATTTGACCTTCCTCTCTCTCTCTCTTTCTCTCTCTCTTCACATTTGTATCGTCAATGAAAGTGATAACTTGTTTTTTGCACAATTACTATATTATCAGCTACATCAGTTATACACATGACAAATCAATGTACGTTCGTGCATTGCAAGTCAATATATCGGTTTCATTTTTGATCAGATAGCAAAATTGACTGCTAAAAAATCTCCGTCATGTTATAAAGATATATGAAATATTCTTTAAATGCAACTCGAGGGAAGTACATATAAGTCCTGCATGGAAATGGTATCGTTATATTTCAGTTTAGAATTGTTGGATTTCTGTCCGTTTAGAATCTCCATAAGAGACATGATTCTTAAACAAATAAAAACGAAAAACATTCAATATTAAAAAGGCACAGAATAAGGGTCATTGAGAACGCGAGTATCGCTTCTCCAGCGCGTATCATCTAAACGAATATGTTTCACGTGTCTAGAATTCTGTTATTTATACATTCGCGCACGCGTCGATGACACGATGAGAATAAGGCCGCGTAGAAGCAGAGCCAGTGATATGGTGTAAAATAATGGAAAGAAGCAAGAGCAAGTAGTTCACTCTAAGCGACTCGCCATTTTACTAGCTTCGCATTAACGTCGACGATTGGCGCATTTAATCTTCGCTCGAAATCGGATGACATTCGAGCGAATCGCACTCGGCCAGGGCCTCGCCGCCGCGTCGTAGAGGAAATTCGTCGGTTAGCAGGCTCTCTGGCACTGTAACCGCCGAGTCGATGCTGTCGAAATAGCGGTGAGGCCACGCGGAGCTCGGGCGAAAGCGCCTGGTGGGCGAACCGATTATGAATTCTACCCGCGTGGAACCGGTGATGGATGATGTCTCTTGATTCAGGGAGTCCGGATAGAGGGATGAGTCGCTGTGTCGGAAACTGCTGTTGGTCGAGCACCAGGAACTCGGTGGTTCGGTGCAGTTCTGGAAGATACGAAATGCGTGTTAGTCATTTAGACAAATAAAATGCGCCCTGTTCTATTACAAGTGCGAAAATTCTCCTGCCGCTACTACAGCATCGCTTTAGAGATATATCGTCTTGGAGATACATCTTAAAGAGATGCGTGACAAAGAGATTAACTTTATATTAATACCCAAGAATTTAGAACAGCCGGTTTATGTCAGTTTTGTAGCGTGAGAATTGACGGGACAAATTTACATGTTAAATGTAGAATGACAACAATTTGTAAAAACACTACTGGCTGTTTTAATGCTGAGGTATCAAAATCTGTTATCTCTCGTATTTATATAACATGTGTATGAGCAAAAGTAAAACTCTCATACGAAGCGATTTTACTACTTAATAACTTGAATTCAATCATAATAAATATAAATGTAAGAATCGCAATAATTAAGTAAAGAGAGCGTGTCACGAATTTTATTAGCGAATGCAATATATCGTAAAATGACATCGTTTCGCGCGATATTGCTGGATATAAGATGGACAATGAACCGCAAGGCCAAGCAGGTAAACGTGTGGTCGATTCATTTTCCCTCAAAATCGCGGATGTGACTATAATAGACCACAGCTACGACGGCTCTCTCGAGTTTTTATACTCCGTAAACAAGCAACGCTAGCAAATAAAATCAAATCTCAGCAACCAAAAAGAGCAAATCAATTTAACATACAACATACATTTGAAAGAGCGGGGAGGAAGACTCGCTAGCGCTGAATGCTGATGATGATCATAATGATACGTGCTAATATAAATGTACTAAATAAATGTTCTCTCCTCTTTCTCTCCTTCTATATCATGAGAGTAAAGAGATCTGTTTGAGTATGTACTGAAATGTATGGGAGTATCAAGGTAAATGAATATGCGACGAATCGAGCGTGTATGGTTGTGTGCGTTTTTATGAACGAAAGATAAATGTGGAATTATCTGAATGTGGCTAGAACATTACTAGTTTTGTCTAGCGGTCGGTTTTTCAACAAAACTTCGGCAATGGAAGCTCGCGTTTATCGTAATGAATGTGCGTAAACTTTGATGAAATATTCGGCCGCGCATGCACAAATTTTGATGGGTTCTCGTAAATAAATCGCAAAAGAGAAGAAAAAGCGACAAAATCCAAATATGTGCGAATAACCGTTTAACCCTTTGTGATGCCAGTTTGAAATAATATAAAAGTGTATTTTATTGTCTTTTCTAACACTAGCGTGGATCATAGAAATCAGTCTTTAAAGTCTTAGAAATTAAACAAGAATGTATTAGTTTCTATTTTTAATCTATAAATTGTTTACAATATAGAATTAGCAGTATCCCCTGAAAGAGAAGAATAATTTCATTCAATAGAGAAGTGGAAATTAAAATAACAATTTTAAAAGTTTAAATTTATGGTAATAGATTATTAATACGAACGATTAATGGTCTATCTATTCTATAGTACTCAAACAAAACGCGTTAGCATATTAAAAAGAATAACTACGTTATTCATTCCAAAAGTTCAAAGAACTCTCATATGATATATTTACAAAGATAAGCATTCTTACTGATATTCGTGATCTGGGAGATTCGACTACGGGTACGTGCGCATGCCAAAATCCAAGTGAGAGCGTTCAAACCATGGTGTATCCTCTACTGGTGTTGGCAAAGGGGAGGAAATGAAAATAGGTTGAAAAGACAGAGGCTATAGCTCACCACATCCAGGAAAAAAGCATTAAAGCAAATGATAATAAAAGAAGCATAACTTACGAGAAAAAACCGGCGGCACGCGAGAAGGGGCCACTTTCTTTCTTTATTGGACCGCCGTTGGGGACGGGCTCGAACGCACGCTCGCCTGCCCTCCAGATCTGATTTCGGTATGGTGGACGATTGGGCGGACAATTGGTGGTTTTAAAACAAGAATTAGTCGATTCGCTCGCTCAAGTCTGCACGTATTGTTACAGATGGTTTTTTTTTTCCAGGAACATCGATTTATCAGGCAAAGATAGTGGCTCAGCGAAAACGGGAATTCCGTTCCTGTATGATTGTACATCGTTGGTACCGTGTCGAAGTCCGCGGTAGAATAGAGGAAGAATGGAATAGGACAAGGACGTAATGAAGATAGACGTCACGGGAAAATCAGCAGAAAATAACAGAGTTATGAAAGTCGGTGCATGTGTCTGTATCATCGCAGGAAACCGTACCAGATACAGCCTCGATAAATATACGTACTTTCGGTATCACTAGATGATATAGTCACAGTTACGGTTGTTACATAAGGATGTGACATAACAGTAATAAGACGATAATAGTAGTAATTACAATAGCGAAAAGTACAGAGGTGAGATAGTTAGCAAGATAATACAGAAAGATTCGTCAAATGAAAATGACGATAATGGAATGCTGTTTAGTCCGTCTAGCCAATCTTAATTTAACGAGACCGAAGTCAGTGCGGGTTGAGACGAGATACTACTGGGAAGTAAAAAGGATATAGTTTTCTAATCTCGTTACAAAGGTTAAGAGAGTGGACTTCGAAGGGAATGATGTTGAAGGCGATGATTGTCCCTAAGAGAGAGCAACTAAAGCCTGTCATCCTGAGGGAGAGAAGGCTTGTCGAGAGCTCTCTACTATACCGGACCATTGGACAACGGTGACTTCAGCCAGCTGCTCCAAAAGAATTGCTTTACAGGTCGTACCTTGCCGTTCTCGGACGCATCGACGGACGTCGCTGCGCGCGCCAGGCTGTGGGAACGGCGTGCAGGAGCGGGCGGTCGTCGAGGGGGAACGTTTACCGTTCCTGTGTTGGGCGAGGACGTGCCGAGGTTGTTGTTAGACTCCAACGAGTCACGGGCGCGGGACAGCGAGGAGGATTTATTTAGGGAGTCTCGGCTGGAATTGTTACGTGGCAGGGATCGATTGTTCAAAGACGACTCCCGATTTGTTTCCTTGCTGCCGCCGCCGACGCTACTGCTGTTGCTTCCGTTACCGCCGCTCCTGGACAGACTTCTATTGCCTAGCGAGTCTCGACTGGATTCGCGCGGTTTCGATAACGACTTGCCGCCGCCATGGCTGTCGCGACTAGAATCACGCAGTGGTCTCGTTAGCGATTTAAGTGATTCCCTGCTATCGTTCCTGCTGTGACTGGGCGGTCGCGCAGGCGTCGTTGCAGTCACGCTCGTTGTAGGCGTCGTCGTTGTCTTGCCGCTCACGTTGCCGAGTAAAGGTATACGACTAGGACGCCGCCGCGGCGACGGTTTGATCTCTACCGGCTGATGATGATCCCGGGCGGACTCCGTGCTGCTGCCGGGCTCGAGGCCGCTTTGCTCGCATCTGGGATGCTCCAAATCCGCCTCGGGTTCGGCTTCCGTTGGTGGTCGTTGTTGAAGACGCTCTAATACGCGTACTCGCGCCCGCGTACCTTCTAATTCTATATTTCGTTCCTCTAACTGAAAGAGATATGGATCATGTTATATTGTATTATAACGAACATCATATACAATATCATATTGTAATATTATAACGATTATCTGTTTACAGAAGAATGTAACGCACTTAATAATGTAATATTTTTTTGGAATTCTTTTAAATAAAGTTGCTATATGTATGTGTGTGCGCAGCGACTTTTGATTGCGACTCACCTGGAAACGCAAATCATCGTTCTCCTCGCGCGCTTTATCCAGTCGCTCTGAGAGAGTTTCTGTACTTTTCTTGACTTCATCTAGCCTTTTTTGTAAGACCTGCAAACAATAAATTGTTAAGAAATTAACAGTCATTGATCAAGTTTATTCTTTTAACTTTTAAATAGATGTATTAGAATAGGAATGACTGATCTTACCTGATTATGGACGGTAGTAGTAATTAGGTGCCGCTGAAGCTCGAGGGGCGAATGCTCGCGAAGAATGGCCGCAATCTTCCTTGAGTCGACGTCTTTCACGTGAGTCACCCTAGTGGGCGAGACCAGGATGGAATCGAGCGCTCCCAACCTGGCTCGCCTTTCATTCACGTTCGCCTCAACATCGATGTCGACATTACGCATCTCGTCATTGCATCCGACAACATCCAATAATACATTCTTCTCGATGGTCCTTGTGCGAAAGCGGCTCTTGTGAGCCTTGCTTCCAGGACTACCGGTGACCGACACGAACGCCGAACTATTGCTCTTAATACTAGTAACATTGGCATTCTTCGGCGAGGAAATTACCGGCGCGATAGGTTGCAGTCTTTGAACGCCTGGTGTCAAAATCTCCGAGGCGTTCTCGATCAGTCCAGCCCGCAACCGATCCTCCAGACCAGTCTTCAGTGCCGATAGGGCGGCCAACTCCGTTTGCAGTTCTTGAGCTCGGGCACGACTTGATATCGTCTCTGCCTCGAGCTCGGCCACTTTGTCTAATAGCTGTTCCTTCTCCCGCCTGAGAGCTATCACTTGCGGGTCCCTACTATCCTGTTGCTGTAGATCGACACTTCCATCATCAACATTACTGTTACAGCCAATTGTTCTATCAGTATCACCGAGACCAGTGATTTTTCTCACAGCCTCGAGCACATCCGTCGACACCAGTTCCTCTGTCGCTACGCTCTCCAAGCGACCCTGAAGGCACTCGACCTCTTCGCGCAGCCGAATCCCTTTGCGGTGGATGACATCTAGCAGGTTCCAGAGTTCGTCCTCCGCCTCGTCCAATGTATTCGGCCGGGGACTGCTCGCTCGCGGCGCAATCGCCGTCGAGGCGCTGTCCTTCGACGAAGTCTCCGTGCTGAAACCAGAGTCCTGGACCGTCGCGCTGCAGTTGTTTTTAGTGCCGCCACTGTGGGAGTTGCTGCGGCTTCTAGGCAGCGACGAAGACGATTCACCTCCACCCCCGCTACCGCTTCCACCGCTGCCGCCCCCGCTGCTACTTTCGCGTGTCACTCGCCGCCTTATCTTGCCAGGCTCCCATTCGCTGATCCTTCGCGAGGACGGGCTCGACAGCGGTAACGGGATGTGCGAGCTCTGGGTACAGGTAGACGACATCACGGACGCACCCGCGGACGCCGTAGCGGCCATCTTGTGCCGGAGGTTTGGGAACGTCTCGATGACGAGGTCCCGGAACTCGAGCAGAGCACCGACTTCATTCTGCAGTTCCTGCAGGGCCACCAAGGATTTAGCTTGCTCGCTGATGAGGTAGTGAAACGGACCGGGGCGCAAAGGCATGCAGTCCATGCCACCAACGCCGACGCCGCTGCCACCGCTGCCGACGCCGTTACTGGTACTGACGTTCACCACGACACCCTCTGTCGAACCGCCGCCGCCGCTACTATTGCTACCGCACTGCTGCAACAACAAGAAGAAATCTACCTTGAAATCCGTTATAAAAAAACAGGAAGTACAGAATATAAAGTCTACTCTTTAAATTTTTTGAAGTGGAATCTCACACTAAAGAATGAAAATTGAGCCAATCTTGAAAAAGAGTGGCTCAATTTTCAATTTTTAAGAGTAAGATTTATTCTAAAAGTTTTAGAGAGTACTTTTACAATCTATAATTTGCAGCTATAATAATGCTATGTGCACCGTACAGAAAAAATTAATCATTAGTAATACAGACAATTTACAGATTCAGTATTACAATGATATATATGCAAATATGTATAATATTATATATGTATAGGATATATATATGATAAGAAATGTAAAATGTATAAAAAATACACGGTATATATAAAATTATAAGAAGAGAATTCTATTTCGTCCCTAAAGTCTAACCATTTAATGAATGTCAATGGCAAAATATAATCGAAAATACATTATTGATTATGTATTGCAATAAAGTTCGCAAGTTTTGTATAAAATTTTCTTTTTACCGTATCAATTTAAACTCGAATAAATTAATTCATCGATTGTTTTTCATATAAAAAAAATCATAATATTTTCTTTTTCATATAAAAAATAATATTCCCTAAAATTGAAAAATTGTTCCTAGATGTGAAAATTTTATTAATTAATTTTCGTAGCATCAAATAATAAATAGAAAATTTGTTCATACAAACTGTTAAAATTTCTAATTTATAAGTTCACTAATGCAAATAATTCAATTGCTGAACTTTCTTTTTATCGCTGAAATCGACAACGACACTTTCTCATCATCTGATCGTTTTCTAGTACTACAAATCGAAATGAAGCCCTATGTGTGACGGTTTCACCGTCCACTTTCTTGCGCGAAAATAACATATTCGCTAATCCTAAGTGAAGCGCGCTAACTGTTATCCGAACATGCTAGTAATTCGCGAAGTCTGGCACGTTTTCTTTGGTGCACCGTCAATCTCGCTGCCATCGCATCATTCCTTTCGGACACACCCGCGCGTGAACGAGCCGTGACAACAGAAATTACGCCGATAATCGGCGTAATTTATCACATTGGAAAGTGCAATTTCTATCTCGTTCCCGAGAGAGACCGAAAGCGTTCTTCCATTATTTCAGGGACGTGTCCAATATCTCACGCTCGTGGCAAATAGATACCGCAAAAGCTTTCACGATATTTCTCACAAAAACCGATGTCATTCAATATACTTTAAATCAATTCCAAAGTAATTTGAGAATCTTTCGAATTGAAAAACCAAGCAAAATCAATATTGAGAGTTTTGCAGTACTTTTTGTTATATCATGCAATATTATATTTATTAGTAAATCTTTTGCGATCCTATTATACAGGATGTTTCCGGATTAAACCGCCAAACTTAAAATTTGAATTTAGAATCTCAAAACAAATAAAATTTTTGTAGAAATTTGCTGATAAACGCTTCGTTTAAGACATTGACTTCTTAATAAATTCCTCTAAGTATAATAATTCTTTAATTCGTGAGACCAGACAATTAAATAAAATTGAAAACAAATTAATTTTCGTTCATTTGTAAATAATAGTTTAGGCTAAAAAAGATTAATTATGCATATCGTTTTTTTTTTGCTCCTTTTATTGAAGTTATTATGATGTTACGTGTGTAAAGCCACGACGAATTCAATCATTTGCATTTGCGAATGATTGAATCTACGTTTAAATAGTCTGCAGTTTTATTGTCGTGCGCAGCAAACCTTAATTATCTTTCGGAGAAACACTTTACGGCCAAGATTACTAGATTACTGCAAAGTCCTGAAGCATGAAGATTCAACTAATTCGCATACATTACAAAGATCTCTATATGGCGTTCGCATAAGCGAACGCATAAGCGGGCAATCAAATATAATGTTTGTTGTATTATAAAACGGTACGTAGACTTTTAGAGCCTTTTCTATACTGCGATTATCGTTTCCTGATGTATTTCCGGTAATGAGAATCGGGTTATTGGAGCCTAATATCCGTTTATTTCTCTTTCGATACAAAGAAGCTATTTCCGAACAGACACCGCGTTTCGTTTATAATATAAAAAAATGCACCGAGATCGATAATTATTAATTATCCTAACGAAGCGTGCAACGTCACACAATATGGTTCCTATTTTCTCTGGTATTTTCTCACGTATCGCGCTGATGATAACGTTCAATAGAATGTTTATTTTCCAACTATTGGATGTTTTCTTCATTGAGATAGAATTATTCTTCTAGATTAATCTAAATCTAAAAGTATAATCCAATCAGCGCGAAAAATAACTTCCAACAGTTGCAAAATAAATATTCTGCTGAACGTGGCCAATGGGAAATTTGTACGACCGAGCACAACTGTCGCAAATCGCAAAACAATCGATCGACAATCGGACATAGCCATCGATCATAAAGGTTCGATTCTCTTCGCTGAAGAGTCCGAATTTAGGTTGCTGTGTCTAACGGGGGCTGTATAATTTTATTCCTCCTAATTATCGATACGCACTTTCACCGGTTCTATACCAGGCGAAGGAGAATGCGGTCATTATGTTAATGGCCAGCGACTACATTAGTTCGAAACACACGTGCGCAAATTCGATGCATTTTTTAACGTGCCAATTCGACCTCCAACCAGTATTGACGATTAGAACACACATTTTACCTCGTAAAGCGGATGCCTATGTGCGCGTCCTGTGTTATCGAAAGCGAGATGGGAAAGTGAACACCGAAACGGATGTGCGTCCTCATAGATAATTAACTCATAATCGCATTATCCGGGAAATGCTAAGCTTTTCTCCCTGCAAGTAGATTTAGAGAAAATCAGGTGATACATCTCGTTACACCCGCCTATATTTCTACATAATTATTATATCCGTTAAGATTTTTAAATAAAGTATCATCAATCGCGATGTTAATAATAACAAAATAAATATCACCGTACAACGTAGTAGTATACATTACATAGTATCTCAAATATGTGATATGTAATAAATAAAAAAGTATCAGTTGCTTAATTATCGCCCTGATAAAGTGAACTGGCATGTTTACGAAACGTTAACATTAACAATGAAAGGAGATAACCTATAAACCGCGTAACACACACACACAAAGAATATACTGGAATTATGATGAACAGTACTCATACATCGAATATCAATATCGAGATAGTACTTAGGTAAATATTTCAAGTAAAATTTAAAGTCCATATACAGAAATAATTAATTATTATAGAGTTAAACAGTTTAGAAGTAAACATAATAACAATAATTTTCTAAAATTATTCGTGGTTAAAATAATTAAATTATTATTTTATGAGATATATTCAAACTGCAGGCGCTATGTTGCGCGATGTCCATTGCAGAGAAAGAAAGTGGAAGTCCCCCCGAGGATATGAAGGGGGGGGATATACGTTTCACGTCTGTTATTTTATCTTCGTACAATTTGCATACGATATCGAAGATGCTGATACCGACTATGCATGATACGCGCTACCGTCACGTCTCAACGCAGTGTACGATGCATGACGCGTCTGATTAGTCAAGCGGCAAGATGGCAGGAAAGTGCGAGAGAAAACTGGGCTTTTGTGTCAAAGTCTTTCTCGAGATATTTCTCCATTCAACGACAAACGAAGACCAAGAGTGGACATGATATTCAATTTTTAACACATCTCAAACGGTTTACAAGGTAAGAACTTATAATGAGATGATCGATGTAGTGAAATGTACATTGTTATATGCAAATTTGGGAAAGAAATTTGAGAACGATAAGTGAAAGCCCGCAAAGAGCTCGCATTCTTATCTTAATTTAACATTGCAAAGACTTGCACTTTCTTATTTATCTGTCTGTGCTTATAAAATCAGTATATTAAAAGATTCTCGGTGCTAATTACTGACTACCCATTAATGCTCGCGCAAGGAATTTTTTTATTCATTACTTGCACAATCGGTTTATCTGTATGGTCACCTCTGTGTAGCATTTAAGCAGTAATGTTGCAATGTGTTACTGAAGGCATAATGCATCCCAAGCAAGGAAACGAATCCCACCTTTGTCCATGAACGGATGATTCACGCCGTGCTCGACAGACGGTATCGTACCTCGGAACAGGGTTTGCCACCGACATCTTCAAGCAAATTCACCTTCGTGCACTTATTTGAGAAATCAAAAGATCTTTCGTAGTCGTGTATATAAATATTCATATTTTGAAGAATTCTTACAATTAAATCTGACAAATATATCGGTTCAATAGGGACTTCGTCACTCGTATTCGAATCGCAACATAGCAACTATATTCAAATAAGTTCGATCGCTTTATTCGATGAGTCAAGGATTCGATATGAATTATATACTTTCAAATACCTGTCGTCGCACAAGAAGGTTGTAATATAGTCTATAAATCATTTCAATAACAATCAAACACAAAGTCTATGATTTTACGACTTATAAATAAAAAAATCAACTAAGTAACATCTTAATTATGATATACATTTACGCAGAACAATTCACGATTAATGTATGAAATGCGTCGAGTGAATTCCTTATCAAAATCAGTTTCTGAATTAGAGATTGAATAATAAATAATAACAAGATCTTTATTTCGTATATAGTAAAATAAACTTTATAATTTTAGTCTTCCGAAATATTTACTTTGAAAGTATAATATTTACTTCAAAGTATAAAATTAAAGTTTGCAAGGAAGGAGAACTTTCTTTCTTTTTTTTATAAAATTTCTTGAGAAAGATTTCTCAATAAAAAAGTCTTCAAGTTTTGTACAAGAAATCTTATAAAAAAAAATTAAAATCTTATAAACTTTAAAGTAAATATTTCGAAAATAGTGAAGTAAAAATTTCTCAAATTATTAAAGTCTGTTTTAGAACATATTATGAAATGAAGATATTAAATTAAAATCTTATTATTTATTTTCCTTATTTTTGTAAACTTTAATTATATACATATAATGGTTAAATATAACAGTCATTAACTGT